AGGCTTCCAAAATAGATCCATGTTTCTCAATTTATATTGGAATTAGTAACTTTGATTAGAATCTACCATGTAAAAAAAATAAAATAAATAAATAAAAGTCCCAAAATAACTTCTACGAGATTATTTGAATTTTTTCAATGAAAACAATATCAAGTCCATTTTCCCTTAACTCCAGAGCGAAATCTGGATTTATGGATATACAGCATTCATTATAGAAATATATGACTCTGTGATTTGTCTATACTGTATCCAACCATTTTGAATATTTTGTATCAAAACCTTGATCTATCAGAGGGAATCTTACTGCATATGCAATTCCCTCTGATTTCAATGAGCAACCCCATTGGAAAGTATCTGTTCACTCTACCATGGGGTTACTCAGTCAGCAATGAGATGCTATTGAGTAGGTTTGGGTACTGTATAACATTCACATTCATCATGGCAATGAACCCCCATCCCTATTTTTAACAAAATATTGAATCATCTAAATTTGTTCAGAATGCACTCTTTGTGACTTATGGCTTTTCCCAAAACTGAAATCACTGTTAGAAGAGAACAGATTCCAGACTGAGAACAAATTTTGAAAATGGAAGCAATGCTAAGTTAAGTGTATATGAGCTTCTAAAGGGATTATCTTGAAAGGAACTAAAATACCATTGTCCTAGGTAGACTCTTTTGTTAATATTAGTTGACAGGATGATTTCTTCACAATCCTCGCATATGTGCAATATACAATGAAACTCCAAAATTTATAATTCATTGGCTTTAGTTCATGCCATGCAGAAAATTCATTCAGTATAAATTTTATTAGCGAAATGCAAATTAATTGAAATTGCTTACAAATCACATACTAAGTCAAAATTGTAAATTTATTGTAATTATGCCTCTATATTATTTTAAATATAATTTAAATGAATTTTCAGGTGATAAAAAAATAAAACTTTGCTTTTTATTTAATGACTGGTAAATATATATTTTAAAAATTGTTTTTGAGTAAAATTAAATAATCCCCACAAATGTTTCTTTTTCAGTTTGTTTTATCCAACAAGTTGATAGGATTCTTGTTTCTTGAGTGTGTTCAGTTTCACAATGTGTTGCAGGAATGGATTTATTATTTCAACCTTTGTGTTTTAGCTTAAAGCAAACATTTGATAAGTTTGAAGATAGAATACAAGTCATTAATGCTTTATGGTTACCCTTATGTGGTCTTTTCATGAATGATTTTCAACCAATGGAAAACCTTTTGAACAGTACAATTACTAGTTTCACCTTTCATAAATGCTGGATAATATTCTTTGGGCTACTTTTGCTACAAGCTTAAATTCATATAATCAAAAATATTTAACAGTCAATCTTTGCTTTATTGATTTAACTTATTACTATTATAGATATACTCTTCTGAAGGAGGCACAGTGGAGTAATGGATAGCGGCTTGAACTGAGGAATTGGAGATCCGAGTTCAAATTCCAGTTGAATCCATTCACTTACATGCTAATACCCTTCTTCTCCCTCCAGCCATGGGTAAATAGCAGGACGGACCAGGTTCTATAGCCTTGGATGGCAGCTAGTCTACCGCAAAAAGAAATGGCAACCTACTGCGAGAAAAAAAATCTGCCTCGTTAGTCATGTATCGAAAGATACATGATCACCTAAGCATATATCATAGCAGGTCGAACTGAGGAATCGGAGAGCTGAGTTCAAATTCCAGTCGAATCGATTCACTTATGTGCTAATACCTTTCTTCTCCCCCAAGCTATGGGTAAATAGCAGGACAGACCAGGTTCTATAGCCTTAGATGGCAGCTGGTCTACCACAGAAAGAAATGGCAACCTACCGCAGTTAAAAAATCTGCCTCGAAAGATACATGATCGCCTAAGCATATATCACACATGGCACATAACTGACTTGTGAAGGTCATCTGGTTTTAAATGATTTAAGGTCTATTTTGTTGTAAAAGCTAATGGAATATTGCAATTCAATTGGTTTATCTTCTCTTTAAAAATCTAATACAAAAAACATTTTGCTATGTGATATTGCATTTCTAACAATACTTATAAGGAATAGCATTAATCCAGAAGAAGGAGAAATGTATACATTTTACACAAAAGTCAACAAAGTGAATTCACTAAATTAATGATCCATATAGTAATGAAGATAAAACCAATATTCTTGTATGATCAATAAATGTAGCCTCCACCTGACCACGTTTTTTCTGTAGAATTGATATTTATCTTTTTACTTCAATGTCAAATGCTTTTATTTACAGCTTTGAGATTTTTTTAAATGTTTTTGGATTTTCAGTTTATTAAAATGTTAAATAAAAAATTTTAAATTTTACCTTTGTTTTTTTTTTTTTTTTTTTTAAAAAATGCAGATACTAAAAGATCTCAATAAAATAGGAAGCTTTGTCAAAATTAAATAAAATCATGCTTGGGATTACATAACTCATGAAGTTGTTGATGTGCCATGAAAACCCAATTCAAATTTCAAAACATTTTTGCTTTGAAGAATTTTACCAGAATGTTTCCTATTTTTTTATCCTCATTTTTCTAAAATTGATTTTAAAAGAATTCTCATTAAAATAATGGTACTTGAGGCTTTGACCCATAAAAATGTTGATGAGCCATGTTTATTTTTTTCTTTTCTCTCTTTCTCTATGGGAATGAAATTCAATCTCCTTCAGGTGCTTCTTCTAATTTCTTTCAATTTGAAAGAGATTTTTTTTATTGCTTTCTCACATGAAGTCTTTTTTATTTTTTCCCATAATTTTCTTGACAGTTTTCATGTTGAAATTTCCTAATTCTTAAAAATTTATTTCTTCCTTGATATTTCTCTGTTTATTTTGCCAAATATTTAATTTTTTAAAAATTCAATTTCAATCACCACTGGCCAGTTCTTTTCTTGTGAAAAGAATGAGAAATTGTTTTCTAGTTTTCCTTTCAATCTTTTTTTTATTCTTCATTTTTTGTTATTTTCTCTTCTGTTTTTTTTTTTTTTTTTAATTAAGGTATGTGAGTTTCTAAATTGCTAGGAACCTTAATCAGGTCAGCATTTTTAAAAATAAAAATGGTTATTAAAGCCAGTATTCAATGAGGGAGTGACTGTAATTGAGCCCATTATCTTGGGGAAAGAGGTGGGTAGCATTTGGCCCCTGTTGACATCCAGGTGTCCCTCAGAGTAAATACAGTTAAAACATGTATGAGTGTGTATGGGGTGGGGGTGGATATTAACTGCCTAAAAACAGATTAAATCAGACTTTGAAGTTCCTCCTTCAATGACTTTCCAGAATTATTCTTTTTTTTAAGCACCATTCTATAAGTTGACTATAAAACTTTGTACATTGTTTTGGTTTTAACTTGAATTGTTTTTTCTTTCTCCCAGAACTTTTTCACAAAGAAAGGATTACGGACAAACTTAAAGCGGACAAAAAGTGTTACCAAATTGGACAGAAAGCGATCGGTCTCTAATGTATCCGAGACAGAAACGTAAGTATATTAAATTTATTTTGTTACTTGTATTTTGGTCAAAATGTCTTTTAATGTTAATTTTGTCATTTAATTGATGAAAAGCAATGAACTGAATGATTTCAAGTCCTTATTTGTGGAAAATCAAAGTTTCTCTTGGTTGCAGACTTCACAGGAATCGAATGTTTTTAATAACATGTCTGCCTTGTTTATTGCTACTGATGTTTTTCTACCTGCAACAAATAGTTTTATTGATCTAAAGGAAATCCATATATTGATCATATTTCAAATAAGAACTGATCATTTGATAACAAATGAATATACATTTTATATTCAGAAAATGTTATTAAGGTTCATGATTTTAAAAATAAGACAAAAAGTTGTTCATAGTAAAAAGTGAAACAGACTGCAATCACTTTCATCTAAAAGCTTAAATCAAGTTCACCTCACAGAAAGTCTGAATGCCAGTCATTTTGTTGAATTCTTGTCCTGTCAAGTACAACTATATGGATAATTCTTTCTTTCATGATTACTTTATCCACTGTCAGTCATGACAAAAATCACAGAAAGTTGATGAATATTCTTATTTTTTATATTTGGTTAACCCAAAATTAAAAGATTGCATAAGGGCATATATTGAACCCACATTTAGTTTATTTCCAGGTTATAAACTAAATCTGAAACTGTAGGCATAAAATGAGGGACCAATTTAGCTTTAGAGGAAGGGAATTTATTCTGTTAAGAATAAGGCTTCATGTTTATAAATAGATTCCTATTCCCTAGAAAACTGTTATATACCATACCTATGAACACTAATGGGTATGTCCCAATCCTCATAAATGCATTGAACACTATTGTAAGTGGGAGTAATATGCTGTCTAAGTAGTCCACCACAAGCAGTGGTTTACCTACTTCACGCCGCTGGCGAGTATTGTATTTTATTGATGTTATAAAAATTACCATTTCATTTCCAACTTCCGTTTTGGTTATTCCTCATTCAGTAACCTTTTCTAGGTTACAACAAAAGACATTTTTCCAGACATTGTCTTCCCATCTTTTCCTGCAAAGTGACCAGCTCTTTTATTTATTCAAAACCAATCCAATGATTCATTTTAGAATAAATCAATGAGTAGAAGTGTATTGTGAAAGAGTTAGGGAAGCTTGAATCTTTCTGACTTTTCAGCCATATTAAACCAGTGTAGAATTTACCAGAATATATATATTTATTTTTTAGTTCATATAAAGAAGAGAATCAATTCACTAAGATGATTATATTAGTCAAACTGAATTCTTCAGTCCTAATGATAAATCATTTTAGAAGAGTTGGTTTAGTGAATTGAGACGCTTCTTCTGGTAGCTCAATGGAGAAACAAGGAAACATTTCAGTTTGTTAACAATTACCATTGGCTTTTTTTCTTCTTTTTTTTTTTATATGTGTTTGTATATTTGATATTAATTCTCTGGAAGTATAATAAGAAAAATTGAAAAATGTGTTTCTAAGCAACGTAAAATTGTCCAAACCCAAGAGAATTGAAAATGTTTTACACACACACACTCTCTTGTCTCCATTTCTTCCTCACTTTTTCATTCTTTTCATTCTCTCTTTCCCTCTGTTTTTCATTCTCTCTTTCCCTGTTTTTCATTCTCTCTTTCCCTCTGTTTTTCATTCTCTCTTTCCCTCTGTTTTTCATTCTCTCTTTCCCTCTGTTTTTCATTCTCTCTTTCCCTCTGTTTTTCATTCTCTCTTTCCCTCTGTTTTTCATTCTCTCTTTCCCTCTGTTTTTCATTCTCTCTTTCCCTCTGTTTTTCATTCTCTCTTTCCCTCTGTTTTTCATTCTCTCTTTCCCTCTGTTTTTCATTCTCTCTTTCCCTCTGTTTTTCATTCTCTCTTTCCCTCTGTTTTTCATTCTCTTTTCCTCTGTTTTTCATTCTCTCTTTCCCTCTGTTTTTCATTCTCTCTTTCCCTCTGTTTTTCATTCTCTCTTTCCCTCTCGTTTTCATTCTCTCTTTCCCTCTGTTTTTCATTCTCTCTTTCCCTCTGTTTTTCATTCTCTCTTTCCCTCTGTTTTTCATTCTCTCTTTCCTCTGTTTTTCATTCTCTTTTTCCCTCTCCCCTTTTTTTTTCTTTCTCTTTTTTCATTCTCTCTTTCCCTCTCTTTTCATTTCTCTTTCCCTCTTTTTCATTCTCTCTTTCCCTCTCTTTTTCATTCTCTCTTTCCCTCTGTTTTTCATTCTCTCTTTCCCTCTGTTTTTCATTCTCTCTTTCCCTCTGTTTTTCATTCTCTCTTTCCCTCTGTTTTTCATTCTCTCTTTCCCTCTGTTTTTTTTATACATAATCATCAGAATCCCACATAGACAAATTAGAATTATTAAACACTTTTGAAGGACAGTATTAAGCTTATATAAGGTGACATAGAGGGTGGTGAGGAATAGTTTGAGAGACATGGTTGAAATTAGAGAGGGAAGGGAGAGTTTTAAAATTTATTTTTATTACAATACTTAATATTGACCGATTAAATAGGTCAATGTCTGATCCTTACCCCTCAATATTAAGTATTGTAATAAAAATAAATTTTAAAACTCTCCCTTCCCTCTCTAATTTCAACCATGTCTCGCAAACTATCCCTCACCACCACCTTATAAAAGCTTAATGCTATCCTTCAAAAGTGTAAATTTTAAATTCATTTTTTCACCCTTGAAAGGGAAATCTGAAGATCCAGAGAAAAATAAAATCTCTGGTGAAATAAATTATAACAATGGAACCTTAAAGTAGTCTGTTTTTTATTTAGATTAAATTATGCATATATTATACCAAACATTATTTCAGTGAATATTTGAATACATGCCCTGTTTTTTTAAACAGTCTGACTTACATCTACCTAATTGTGCAATCAAGAGACTTAAAGAAAATATGCTCTCCAGCAGTGTTTGAATCTGCAACCCTCTTTTGTATGAGAAACCATCATCTGATCCAGAATGCTTTTGTACTGATCATCCATAAAGCTCATCACAGCCTACCAAAGAGAACACTTTTCTTAAGTTTCTCAAATGCACAGAGGCTAGTAGGATGTAATTCATACTGTTTAAAAAATTAAGCATCTTCTCAAACATGGATATCCATTGAAATGTTGGAGTAATTATAAAAATAATTAAAAAAAAATAATGTTGGATTAAAAATAAAAATCCCTTAATTCCTTCTATATAAATCATATATATATATATTTTCAAACAGGTTTGGTTAAATAATTTAGACATACCATGTCAATTAGTTTTCGTTGTGATCCTTTCAAGTTTGTGGATTAATTTCTTGGTAGACTTAAAAAAATGAGTAAGAAAAATACCAAAATTTTCTTTTTGCTTTACTTCAACTTTCAATCTCAGGAAAATAATTTACAGATTTGAGTAACAGATTCATATTAATCCTTTGAGCCCTGACCACCACTTTACCAGTGGTAGAGAAAAATGACATAATGCACAGTCACCAATTGAATGGTTGGTAAACACTTGTAATTATTTTTATGTCTACCATGAAACATTACATACCAATTATTTGCGAATTTTGTCTCAGGAGCTCGTGTAGAAGGGTTAAATTTGTTCAGGAATGCAGAGCTCAAAGGTTTAAGCAATAGAAGACAAATAGTAAATACAGAAAACAAAATAAATATTAGGATTCGAAATGTCTCTCCTACAAATTTGAAAATACGTCCTTTTTCCTTTAATCATTTCATCACAACCAAGGGAATAAAGCCACTAAAATGCAAGGCTTTGAGGGAATATGAGAAAAAGAAAATGTTATTAGGGTGATATATATAACTGCATTTCTTTTAATTATTCTTGTTAAACTGTTTAAAAGTTAACCCATTGATCCCTGAATACTGCTTTACCAGTGATAAAGAAAAATGACATAATGCCCAGCCACCGGTTGAATGATGGGTAAACACTTGTAACTATTTTTATATCTACCATGAAACATTACATACTTATTATTTGTGAATTTTGACTCAGGAACTCAGGCAGAAGGGTTAAAAGTGTTCAAGAACAAAGGGCTGAAAGGTTTGACCATGTAATGTTTTGTGTTGCTTTTTTTTAACCTAAGAACTTCAGACAATACACATAATAAACTTGCATAGATCCTCCCTCACTCTTTGACTGAAAAGAACACTTTCATTGGATTTGTTTTTTATGGTTTATCAACCCTTTCTAGGTTATTTAAAGCTGAAACATTTGGGATTGGAAGAATAATTGTTTTTCTTTGTGAATGAATATTGCATTAACATTTTTTAAAAATCAGAATGATTTTTCCACATACAAGTCATACTATTTAACATATAGTTGAAGGAGGAGATGGTATCATACCTTTCTCAAGGGTATTTGCATGTAAATAAATGTAATGAACTAGACTGGTATTTGAACTTGGTTCTTCAATTTCATTCTGATACATTGCACCAACTGCACATCCTGAACACTTCCAAATTTTAAAACACATGAAAACTGTTATGCACACATTTTACATGTGTATACGTATTCATTTTACAGAGTACCACCAATACATTTTTATAGGAAAAATTATTACCAGCAATGCTTTTTTTTGAAGGAAAATTATTACAAACAAAATATTACCAGCAATATGTTTCTTTGGAAAAGTATTACCAGCAATACATTACTTTGAAAAAAATATTACCAGCAATACATTTCTTTGAAAAAAGTATTACCAGTTATACATTTTTGGAAAAATATTACCTGCAACAGATTTTTGAAAAAAAAAAAAAAATATTACCAGAAATTGATTTTTGGGTAAAAAAAAAAAAATGACCAGAAATAGATTTTTTAAAAAAAAAAAAAAAAAAAAAAAATTTACTAGAAATAGATTTAAAAAAAAAAAAATATTATCAGAAATAAATTTAAAAAAAAAAAAAAAATATTACCAGAAATAGATTTTTGAAAAAAAAAAAAATTTACTAGAAATAGATTTAAAAAAAAAAATATATTATCAGAAATAAATTTAAAAAAAAAAAAAAAATATTACCAGAAATAGATTTTTGAAAAAAAAAAAAAAAAAAAATTTACTAGAAATAGATTTAAAAAAAAAAAAATATTATCAGAAATAAATTTAAAAAAAAAAAAAAATTACCAGAAATAGATTTTGAAAAAAAAAAAAAAAAAAAAAAATTTACTAGAAATAGATTTAAAAAAAAAAAATATTATCAGAAATAAATTTAAAAAAAAAAAAATATTACCAGAAATAGATTTTGAAAAAAAAAAAGTATTACCAGAAATAGATTTTTGAAAAAAAAAAAATATTACGAGAAATAGATTTTTGAAAAAAAAAAAAATATTACGAGAAATAGATTTTTGAAAAAAGGAAAAATATTACCAGAAATAGATTTTTGAAAAAAAAAAGATAAATTTACTAGAAATAGATTTTTAAAAGAAAAAATTACCAGAAATAGATTTTTAAGAGAAAAAATTACCAGAAATAGATTTTTAAGAGAAAAAATTACCAGAAATAGATTTTTAAGAGAAAAAATTACCAGAAATAGATTTTTAAAAGAAAAAATTACCAGAAATAGATTTTTAAAAGAAAAAATTACCAGAAATAGATTTTTAAAAGAAAAAATTACCAGAAATAGATTTTTAAAAGAAAAAATTACCAGAAATAGATTTTTGAAAAAAAAAAGATAAATTTACTAGAAATAGATTTTTAAAAGAAAAAATTACCAGAAATAGATTTTTAAAAGAAAAAATTACCAGAAATAGATTTTTAAAAGAAAAAATTACCAGAAATAGATTTTTAAAAGAAAAAATTACCAGAAATAGATTTTTGAAAAAAAAATTACCAGAAATAGATTTTTGAAAAAAAAAAATATTACCAGAAATAGATTTTTTGAAGGAAAAAAACATTACCAGCAGTACATTTTTGAAAATAAAATAAAAGCATTACCAGCAATAAAAATTTTGTCGGCATTAAATAATTGAGGTTGATATATCAAAACAAACCAAACCAAAAATCATTTTACTGAGAGACCATGTTGATGTAATATAAAAAGAAATGGTCAGTGAGGTTAGATTGTTAACCATCTCTCTACAGCCCAGGTACATAATCTTCTTAAAAAGAATGTGTGTGAACCGGAAGGAAGACAGACTACATTCCCAATTGTTCTTCATTATTCTTTTATTTTTGCTTCCTTCCTTATTAGTTGTCAGTTTTCAGGTCAAAGGTTGTATTATCTGCTTTTTATCATGTTGATTAAGTCAGTCAATGCAATTTAGAGTCTGCCATGGTTCCCTTCACAGATCTCTTCTTCCTTTCCCTTAATTCCTCCCAGCTTTGGTCACTGGATCTGACTTTTATGACAAGGAAACACTTCTTCCTATCTTGTTCTGCTGTCTTCCTTTTTCAAAGCCCCCCCCCCGGGGGACAGCACTTTCTTTGATGACAGAGAACCACACACTAACCCACCTAAATTCTTGCTGTCCTTTTTGTCATTTCTTCTCATAGAATCTCTCTTCAAATGTCTTTTTTTTGTTTGTATAAAATCATGGTTAAAGTGTTGTAGTTGGCCGAAGAACACCACCACCACCCCACCTCACCTCGTATTAGTTCAAACAAAAGCTTATTTAAATTTGTAGGCTTAGGTCTAGATTGACAGTTCAGATTTTAGAAGTAAATAGAGTTAATGAAAAGATGCAAAATTATAATAAGAAAGAGTGAAACTTCACATTCTGATTTCTCTATTAAATTTTGCTATGTATGGCACAAGGCCAAATAGGAGTATGAGGCTCTTGCTTTAATCAGTCAAATAGGGAGAGCTGACTGCATCACTTGAAAACCAGCATTCAAAGATTTGTTTTTTCTATATACTTTTTACTTGTATTACACTAAATTTTTATTTAGAGTAATAAGAAATAATGTTAGATTGAAAAACCGTTAATTCCATATATATATATATATATATATATATATATATATATATATATATATATATGTATGTATTTGTGTATTTAGTTAGCAAATTCTCTTTTCATGTCTGATTAAATAAATTACAAACATTATGTCTGCTTATTTTTAGCATAATCCGTTCATATTCACAGATATTTTTCCGTGTATTATGAGCAAATGATACAAGAAATGCACTGTAACAGTGAAAATCGCTTTTATTTCCATCTCTGAGATCATCAGGGGTGCAACTTTTAAAAATATCTGAATATAAACAGATTATGCTAAAAATAAGCAGACATAATGTTTGTAATTTATTTAATCAGATACACACACACACACACACACACACATCAAGGAAAAATTTAACACATCAAAATCTCTATAATATTATAAATCCCCAGAAAATAAATTTTCTATGTTAAGCATCTGGACTTCCTGTTATCTTTTTAAAATATTCTGGATAAAATTAAACCATTTTGTAAAATTAAACCATTTGTAATTTTGGTCTGATGAGATGATGGTTAAAAACTTACCCGTTGAAATAAATTATAATTTATAACTGCATTTTCAATGATGCACTAAGTTTTCCTTTGATGTATACCATATTGCTCTGTATACTACACATTGAGCTTTCTTTATGCTCATCTTTTTAATATTTATATTAAAATAGACCTACTTGGATTAACCTTTCCACTAATGTATTCGATGTTATATATATATATATATATATATATATATATATATATATATATATGTGTTTTTTTTAAAAATCACCATCACAGTTACAATAAATTTTTTTTATCACAGTTACAATAAATTTGTCTTTGTAATTTATCTCTGAAGATGGTCTGGGAAAAGATCAAAAGCTTTCCTTGAAAAATTTCATCTTAACATCAAGAAACTGATTAAACTATTGGAAAGAATCAGTATAAAATATATATAATATGTCTATATTATTCAAGATGGGTTGCTATCCAAATATACACAACTCCCTCAACCACAAGACAGGCTCTAGTGCAAGTGTGCAGTTCTGCTTAAGCAATGTAACAGTAAAAAAAATTTTTTCTTGTTTTGTAACTCACTAAGGATGTTGTGGAGATATGATAACCTACTCCATGTAAGAATTTTGCACATAAAAAAAAAAAAACAACAAATTTCCTATGCCCTGGATAATAATTCCCACAAAGTAGAATGGGAGAGGCTAGCTTGGGTCAGTTTGTAGAATAAGTACATCACAACTAGAAAAAGTGATCCCTGTGAAGAAATTTATTAAATGCTCTTCAGCAAGGAAGTGACCTCTTGTGCTGATAGCTGGAGTCATTAATCTCTGTTTATGAAAATGATTGGTAACATCCTTAATAATTTTGTATTTTAATTTTAAGATGAGTAATTGTCAATATACTTTAATTTTATTCAAATCTGTTGTTCTCATTTTGACAATTTTAGATGTTATTATAAATAGGTTTCAGCCAAATAACCTCTGGCCATCTTCAGGTATCCATTGTTTGACTGTTGGGGGTTCCTGTGATAGATATGTGAAGATGGCCAGAGGGTACTTGGCCAAAACATTGGGTTGATAATAACATCTACAATAAAAGATGGAAATAATTTGAATAAAATTAAAGTCTATTAACACCTTTAATAACCAGAAAAAACAGTAGAGCTAAATAAGAGGTGAATGAAGTTTGTGCAAAGATGATAAAATATGAACTTTATTTCCTTTTATTTTTCTTTTTTCATTTTTTTTTCCAGCAGGTACACTAGAATATATTATTCATATTATAACCCCCACCTCCACCACTTTAGTGTTCAGGTTCCTTCAGATCATCATATTTACCATCTAGCTGACTTCTCACTCGTTAACATGTTGCTGGTGTGTCACTGGTATTGTGTTGAAGAGCACAGTTCCACTTGATCTAGGTTGGTGTTTGTCTGCTTCACAACCCTTTACTTCTCTGCCATCGCTGGTGTGGCAAAATAGAGTGAAATACAGGTCAACAGCGAAGAGCTACACAAAAAAAATTCTTTGGAATAAAAGATCAACAAGAATTTGGTTTATATATGATTTGTTGTATACAATGGTTTTAACCATTCTTTCTTACTGTTATAATCTGTTATGGTCTGGTTCCTTGTACCACGGTGATAGTCCAAGGTAGAACCAATAAAGAAGAACGTGAACACAGGTATGGAATAACACAGATATTTTACAAACAGAAATATATACAGAGAAGTAGAAGTGTTAATATGAACAATCAGGTTTAGTAGAGAGAACAATGTAGTCTCGACCAGTATCACTATTCCAATGTCTTGCAGTAATTGTCTGAACGACGACTGTTTTGTACTGCCTCTGACTCAACTTGAACTACTGACTCGACTTGAACTACCAACTCCTTGCCTACTCCTGAGGCGCAGTATTTATTAAGTATGGAATAGTCCATTATTATTATTATGGGTAAGATCCCATAACATAATCAAATGACAATGTGATCCCTTTTTGGAGCTTACAGCCCATTTTAGTAGTAATTTAAATTTAAAGTTCTGGTTTTCGGGGCTAGCACAATGTTTTGGTCAGGCGGTCTCAACAAACGATGCTGATTCCAGTAGCAGTAATATGGGGACTCTCCAAGTTGTCCAAACCTCCAGCTTACATGGAGTCCTGTGTCCAACTTGGGTGGGGTTGATCAGTCTCTTAGTTTTTTGTTTCTATAGTAGTCCTGGTTTTGCTTAATCTTACTGAATTCTGTCTATTTGGGTTCAATTCTCCTTGAAACTGTTCAAGATTTCATTTTATTATTTTGAAACTATTTTTTCAGTGTATTTCGTTTTTAATTTTCTTAACTTTTCAATCAACTTTCTTGCAAATTTCAACAATCATCTAGTTAGCTTTTTGTTGCTTGATTAACCCTCTGAGGTCACAGTGTCACAGTATAAGAAGTCTTTTGTTATAAATTTTTGGACTAGGATTTCTTTCAACTTAATTTTTAGTTGCTTTTCATTGTGACGACTTGAATGATCATTTTTTGGTTATCAGTAAACAATGCCGAATCAGAAATAAACAAACTCTGATTGAAATTGAAATTATTGAATTGAAAAGAAATGTTTTCCACAACAGCTGCTCTTATCACTTAGGCTACAAGTGTTTTACAATTGACAAAAGTTCAAATCTAATCATTTATATATCATTCTTCTCTAATCCTTTTGCCCTCATATTTGTTGAGATTTTGGTATACACTAATAATATTAGTAGAAATAATATTACCTTGAATGTTTTTAGTGGACAAAATGTGTCAGCCATTATTAATTTTCCCCTAGTATTTCTTTTATCTTCAATTACTTTTATTGTGACTATTCAGTCCTTCATTTTATGTCCATTAGAAAAAAATATGTGATGATTGCAAAGAGAGATTTAGCTGCTTTTGAAACGTGACCTTGTATCTCTTTACTTACCTATTTACTTTGTTTGTCTGCCACAGTACTTAAAAAGATTTGAATTTTCTTTCTCCATGAGCTGATCTAAAAAAATGACCAACAATCTGCTTTTTACTGGGTTTAGGAATGACTTGTTACTTTTAATGCCTCCAAAATGAAACTTCTCTCTCTTAATCATCTTAGAGATCCATTTCTGTCTTCCATCGGCATGGCTGATGCTAACTTTCAAAAGTGTGACACATTGTGGCTTCTTGGGCTAACATTCTCTGTTGACATGAATTGGAAAGATTATATTGAATCAATTGCTAAGTCTGCTGCTAAGAAAGTTGGTTCACTGTTTCGAGCTAGACAGTTTTTCTCTTCAGAATCTATCTTACATATCTATAAGTCTACCATTTGTCCATGCTTAGAATATTGCTGCCACATATGGTCTGGTGCTTATGCTATATATTTAGAGATTCTTAATAAAATTCAATGAATCATCAGCAACATTATTGATCCTGACCTGGCATCTCCACTTCAGTGATTGTCCCACTGCCGTAATGTAGTTTCTCTGTGCCTTTTCTTTAAATATTTTTATGGTAATTATTTTGATGAATATTCCCCTAATCTACCTACACTTTGTGAATTTAAATGCAGTACTAGATTGGCAACTAGGTTTCATTTTGCAATTGAAATGGTTAGATGTAGTCATAAGATTTTATGCTAACAGTTTCTTCTCATGCACTTGTCACTTGTGGAACTCTCATCTGGCTTTTTGCTTTACAGTAACTGCCTCAACTCTCTAACAATATCTCATCCTGTATTACTTTGTCAGAGCAAAAGGTTTGAAGGAATGAGCCTCTCTCATAGTCATTAAGTCTTCAACTTTGCTTAGTTAGATGGTTGGCTATAGTTGATGTGCTTACTGTCCATAATCAACCATTGCAAACAAAAAACAGAAGAAGCAGCAACATAAAGTAATCAAATTATTCAATCTGGGCATCAAAGCAGACATGAGGGTGGATTGCAGGTTGAGGTGCTGTTGCCACCATTACAGACCAGATCCATGAATGTGAACAAAAGTTGACTTTTTGGCAGACAAGTAAAAAGAGATGAGGAAAAACATTTTGTCTTTCTCTCTTTTTTTCTTCCCAATTTGTTTTTATCTAATTTGATTAATTCTTTTTTTTTTCTTTTTCTGATTTTCCCTTCTTTCAGTTTGTCTTTTTCTCTTGTTTTTATTTTCCCTTTTTTCTTTCTTACTTCCTTTTTTTCTTTTCCTCCTCTCTATTTTTCTTTTTCTCTTTTGTTTTTAATCTTTTCTCTCGTCTTTTCTCCTCCTTTTCTCTCGTCTGTTCTCCTCCTTTTCTCTCGTCTGTTCTCCTCCTTTTCTCTCGTCTGTACTCCTCCTTTTCTCTAATCTGTACTCCTCCTTTTCTCTCGTCTGTTCTCCTCCTTTTCTCTCGTCTTTTCTCCTCCTTTTCTCTCGTCTGTTCTCCTCCTTTTCTCTCGTCTTTTCTCCTCCTTTTCTCTCGTCTTTTCTCCTCCTTTTCTCTCGTCTTTTCTCCTCCTTTTCTCTCGTCTGTTCTCCTCCTTTTTTGTCTTTCTTTTCTCTTTTTTCTTTTTCATTTCTTCTTCTTTCCTTTCCTTTCCTTCCTCTCTTTCATTTTTTATATTTTTTTCCTTCTCTTCTTTCCTCTTCTGCCAATGTACATGATATCACTTCATAGTTTTTAATTTGCCAAAATCTTTAGACACACAAATGATCCAAAGAAATACAAGTAAAAAATCTTTAATCTTTTTTTTTTTTTATTTCTCTCTCTCTTTTCCTTACTCTCTCTTTTTATCTCATCTCTTTTTTGTTTTTTTTCTTTTGAAAATTCTCCAAAGGTAAGCATTTTCATGTGCCATATCGTTAAGGGAATTAGCTTTGAAGCCAATTTTTTGTCCAAGAGGGATTTAGCTTTTATTATTGTAACTTGAAAGGAATCCTTCATTGTGGGGTTTTGCTTGCAGAATGAAGTCTCAAAGAGAAATGCAGAAACAGTTTACAAAGAGGAAAATATTTTATTACAATGCAGCAGGCACTCTTATGAACATTTACTTAGCTTAACACATACATTGGTTCACATATGAAGGAAGATTGTGTTGCATCAGCCCTCCAAATGGAAAAGGCCTTCTGGCTTTATATGGGTGGGCCAGCAGCATAATATAAACCTGAAGAAGGCTAGAGAGCTTATTGTCTGAAGCAGAAACAATGAAAATAATATTTATCTAAATAATTAATTAAAAAAAGGACAATACATTATTTCAGAAGTCTAAACAATACAATCTAATCTTGCTTCTTCATCAGATATTGATTATTCATGCCTTTTCAGTGCTAATGGTTTTATTTTTAAAAACTTGCCTTGTTATCCAACTGTTATTGTGTGTCATTCATTAAATAAAACAAAAAAAAATTTCTTTTAGGGTCACAAAATAAGAGTGGTTCAGTATTATTTGCTAATGGTAGTAGTTCTTTATGTCATAATCAATTTATAATGTGTAACTCCTCAAAAGACAGATAATTGATATTAAACAGACTTTAATAATTGATGACCTTGATGTCTTCAGTTGGTAGTAATGCAGTTGCTGAAGTTTGAAACTGATTATTTTTCATCAACTTCTTTTTCAGAACTGTTAATGACATAAAAGGTCTTTGTAAGCAAAATTAAGCACAGTCTCTATGATGACTAAATTTGGGAGAATTTTAACTTTTTATAGAGTAAGGAGTGATTGATACATTTATCTCTCTCTCTCTATATATATATATATATATACTTTAAAAATCAGGTGGTCAGTTGAATCAGCTACTTTGGTTTCAACCTTACAGTATCCTCAGGCAATTTTTTATCAAATGACCATCTAACGCTTTTTTATTTTTATAAAAAAAAAATAAAGAATGCTACATTATTATTTTCAAAAATAAACAAACAGATGCACAATGTTGGGTGTAATAGAATAGGAGGAGGATGTGAAGATGATGATGCTCATCTGGTAAAAATTGTCTGAAGATACCGTTAGGTTGAAACCAAGGTAGCGGATTCAACTGACCTCCTGATTTTTTAAAGTTAAAAGCTCTACATGTTATTTTTACTTTTGTTTTTCACACGTGTATTGAGCAATTTTTAATACTATTGTTTCCTGGTCTGATTCAACTCTGACCATTAACCTTTTATGTATTATATATATATATATATATATATATATATATATATATAGTTGCATGGACAATATTTTGTAACCTCGGGTTTCATGCATTCACAATCTTCAGACAAACTGGTTTATTTTTTCAAAAGTGTATCTATTTATGCTTTATTTGTGTGTGGGGGAGGTGGAAAAACTAAAAACTACTATCTATGCATAGATTAGCTCTATCACAGATATTGAGCACTTTCTACTAAATACCACACACACACACATATATATATACACATACATACACATATATATATACACATACATACACATATATATATACACATACATACACATATATATATACACATACATACACATATATTGTGACATGACCCTTGTTATTTATATTAAAAACAATTAAGTTGAATTAAGTCAATCATTTGAAGTTTTGATATTTAATATAAATCTCCATCCTAAAATTTAATAATTTATCTGTTATTCTTCATTCTATTTCTCAAAAAAAAAACTGGCCTTGACCACTTCTAAATTGGGCTAACTATCGAATTGTCAATTTCATATAAAGCGTTCAATGATTTTAATTTAATATTTGATGTTCAATGGTAAGGAGTATCCCTATACTAACTGATCAGAAGTATTGCAGCTGTTGTATCGAGAAGATGTAAAAAAAAAAAACATTTATCTTTTCTTCATGGGCTAGCTACTGCATAAAATTGACTACTGCTATTCCAGAGACAGAAAGTAAAAAGAAAAAAGAAACTTCCAGGATTATCAGGAATTCAAAAGCCAGGATCATGTATATTCTGTGAATAAAATGCAAAGTGCTTTCAGGTTGATAAACCCAACAAGCTATACTGATTGACTGAAGCAAGTCTGTGTAAAGGAAAATATCTCAAGATCCTTCAACTAGGAACTCTCTACTTGAACTATAAAAAAAAAAAGAAATAGTAATCAGTAAAATAATAATGGCCATTGATCAGCAAAATCATTGATGACTCTAGATAAGTGGCTGTTGAGCATTCTTCTAATAATAATCCTTACATTTTCTTTCCTTTCTCCTATTCTTCATTTGTTATTTCCTTCTTCTCTCATTCCATGTTTTTATATATTAAAATAATTATAATTTTACATCTTATATTTGTTTTTGATATGTTATCTGTATTGGTATTGGTCCCTAATTGAGTAGAAAATCCCATTTTGTTTTTGTTTAAATGAACCACATTTGTTGCCATATGTTTGAATTTTGTTGAAAGACAAAATTGGTAATAATATATATATATATATATATATATATATATATATATATATAAAACATATATTGTTAAATATAACAAATAATGAACGCCTATTATATCTGATCATGAGCTGTTCTAAACTTTGTCTGCTTTAATTATGGACGAAAATAAAGACAAAAATTGTCCAACATTTGGATATTTTTTTATTAAGCTGGTCCTTGATTTAAGCTTTCAGATCACATGAGCCATCTTCAGAGTGGTTATATGGACATTTAAGCAAAGATATTCACCATGAAAGATGGCATTCTGTTATGTTGACATAGAAGATTTCTATACAATGATAACAGTTGTGGAATAGCAGACACAGGTCATAAGTTCATGATGTGGTTCTATGGCATCATACCATGTGAGAGACAATATCTGCTACCACAATACACTTTAAAAGTTATATATATATATATATATATATATATATATATATATATATATATATATATATATACGTATGTACACACACAGACATATATAATATATTGTATCCTTAAAAAAGGTTACAAACAAAGGTGGTACTCAAGTGAAAGGAACAGTAACACTGGTGTAGATAAAAGAAAGAGAGGCTTATTGTTAAAGAGAATACACTACTGAAAGACAGGGAATTGGTTAGCAGGCTAGTAATTCCCGAAGCAAGGATATTTGCCAACTGCCTCACACAGTCAGATGTGGCACAAGGCTGAATTTAATGTGGGATATCTGAGCCCGTATGCTCGGGCAAAAATTCCCCATAGACCCTGTAAAAAAACAGGGTCAGGTAGCTGTCTGCCACCCCAGATGAGACTCTGCCCTTCTGCATAGCCTTGTCTGGGTTCCTCTCTGCCCAAAGGCAGAGAGTTAGTTAGACTAGTTTAGCTGGAGACGAATCGCCAACTAATTCATGAAGCAAGTCTCAGGTATATCCTGTGCACACTATATATATATATATATATATATATATATATATATATATATATATATCTACTGATATAATCAGTCTGCAATAGGGAGAGTGGAACGTTCCATTACAACAATATATAAGAGAGATGTAAGTGGATTTAAGGAAAATAAATATATAAACAAAAGTACACACAATTAGGTCTTTTTTGATGTAACATCAAAAGCAAAGCAAAAAGAAATTATTGTTAGCAACTCTAAGGACTTGAACCCATTTTTATTACAATTGAACTAGGCCACACAGCAGAAAATGCATTTTATAAATTAATTAAATTAAACATAAAATGTAGGGTCAAATTATTTTAAATAAATAAATATAAAAAACTATTAAAACCCCCCCAAAAGATTGCATCATTACACAGCATTCTCTGAATTTAACAACATTTTTTCTGTTTCATGTCCTGGGATAAATTCAAGATAATGTCTATAGAAATGAAGAAGAATTTAGCAAATATAAAGTTAATGAATAAAAACATCAAAATCAATGATTATCAAAACTGCAATATTGTTTTTGAAAAAATGACTTTGTCATTTTTATAAAAATTAACAAATTCACTGATGACATTCTCCCTGTTGCTATTTTTATGTTTTCTTTTAAATATCACCCAGTTCACACTCCTTCCGGGTCTTTTGAACAGAAGCAGAGGTTTATCCTTTGTTCCTGATTTAGGATTCTCTTTCACTCCAAGAAACCCCTTGTGTCTTACTGGCATTATCACCTAGCTTGGGGTGAATTGATTAAAAAAAATTTAAAAATATATATTAAAAATTAAAAATAATAGCAATTTTTACCTATCATAATTTTACACAGTCCCCACCACATGTATATATGTGCATGCGAGGAAATATTATTCAGCGAAAAAATAGAAAAATGCTCTGATTGCTGACATGTATACATTCATGAGAAATTTTCGCTACACTTCCAATCTTTGAATTTCAACATAGAAATGCGTATGTATATAGACAACACATATACATACATTATGTCAAATCCCTTACTGTCCACATATGTTTATGTCTGTCTGAGCCCCAGTGGATGAGCGAGTGTGTATGTGTGTCTGCGTACCTCGACGGGTGTATGGACATGCATCTATGTTTGCATTAGCATGAGTGACATCATGATGATGATTCCTCTCCCACTTCCATAATAACACCAATACATGCAATCTACATCAACCCAAAATTTTAAAAAATTAATCAGTTTGTCTGACGATCATAAAAGCGTGAAACCCAGGGTCACAAACTCACATCAATCCAACAAAAATATATATATATATATATATATATATATATATATATATATAGTTTATGAAAAAC